GGGGTCCAAACAATCTGTATTTAATATGATTTACATGCCTGTGTTTAGCAATTCCTCATATTGCAAAATCCACCTATCCTCTCGCTACATAAGACATGTATCTAAAACAATATATATTAGAGATGCTGAAAATAATATACAATGAAGATAAAATAAAGAAGATACAAAAGCACATTAATAATGGAGAAAACAATGGGGCTGGGGATGTGGCTCAAGTGGTAGCGTGCTCACCTGGCATGCGTGTGGCCCGGGTTCGATCCTCAGCACCACATACAAACAAAGATGTTGTGTCCGCCAAAAAACTAAAAAATAAATATTAAAATTCTCTCTCTTTAAAAAAAAACAAACAAAAAACACAAATGGTAGCAACACCATTACACCCTGTTAAAAAAAAAATAATAATGGAGAAAACAATTTCTCTCAATTTATGAAATCAAATGTATAAGAACATATAAAAAATAAGAATATAAAGAAAAATAAGCCAAGTCCAATGGTTCATGCCTATAATCCCAGTGATCTGGGAGGCTGAGTCAAGCAGGAGGATTGCAAGTCTGAGGTCAGCTTGGGCAACTTAGGGAGACCCTGTATTAAAATACAATAAAAAGGGCTTATGGACTAGGTCAATTCTAAAAAAGGACAGGCAAAATACTCTGACTAAAAAAGTAACAGCAATTACAAAACAAAAATTAAAACTTTTTTTTTTTTTTTTTAAAGATCTAATGATTTAGGCCAGGGGCAGTCACATGTACCTTAAATCCCAACAATCTGGGAAGCTGAGACAAGAGGACGTTAAATTCAAAACCAGCCTCAGCGACTTAACTGGAACCTCAGCAATGTAGAGGGACCCTATCTCAAATAAACGTAAGTTTGGGCTGTGGTTGTAGCTCAGTGCTAGAGCACTTGTCTAGCAAGTATGAGGCACTAGGTTCAATTCTTAGCACTATATATAAATTTAAAAGAAAAAGAAAAAAAGAGTTTAACAAACTCTTTGGCTAAAAAGGATATTTTAATAAACTTCAAAATAATGACAAATATTACTCATGAAAACAAAGTACAGTAGAAACTATGGAACATATTTGAGCAAATGCTTAGAGAAGAACCTTTAGAATAAATCTTTCCAATATTTAAAGAAGATATAACAACAAAAAGAAAATTAACAAAAAGAAATTTTAAAAAATTCATGAGTTGATTCTTCGGGAAAAATTTAAAAAAGAATAAAAGAGAAAAATAAAATAAAAGCAAAAACCTAGTGAAAATTACCTCTAAAACTGAAAATGTAAACAAAAAGAAAAGGAACAGAGACAATTATATTTCATTAACCCTAAGGCAGAGATGACTTAACATGTGAATTTCACCAAAATTTTTTTTTAACTTTTATTTTATTTTTTTTAATTTATTTATTTTTTTAACCATACGATTTATTTTTATTTTTTTTAGTCATACATGACAGCAGAATGTATTTTGACATATAATACATACATGGAATGTACATACATCAATCATGTTGTCTATTCTATTCTGCTGCCCTTCCTATCCTTCCGACTCCTCCCCTTCTCTCTCATCCTTTCTCTCTATCCAATCTAATGTGACACACTTTTTTTTTTCTTTTTCTCATTACAACATCATATATGTATTCTGTATAACAATGAGGTTCTCCTTCCATCTTCCATGCAACTCCCCTTCTCCCTCTTTTTCCCTCCCACCTCTCTTCCCTATTTAGTGGTAGTCTTCTTCTCATGCTCTTCCTCCCTATCCCATTTTGAGTCACCCCCCTTATATCAGAGAAGACATTCGGCATTTGTTTTTTAGGGATTGGATAATTTCACTTAGCATAATCTGCTCTAATGCCATCCATTTGCCTGCAAATGCCATGATCTTGTTATTTTTTAGTGCTGAGTAATATTCCATTGTGTATAAATGCCACATTTTTTAATCCATTCATCTATTGAAGGGCATCTAGGTTGGTTCCACATTCTAGCTATTGTGAATTGTGCTGCTATAAACATTGATGTGGCTGTGTCCCTGTAGTATGCTCTTTTTAGGTCTTTTGGGTATAGTCCAAGAAGGGGAATAGCTGGGTCAAATGGTGGTTCCATTCCCAGCTTTCCAAGGAATCTCCATACTGCTTTCCAAATTGGCTGCACCAATTTGCAGTCCCACCAGCAACTTTTATTTTTTAGTTGTGGATGGACACAATACCTTTATTTTATTTTTTCGTGGTGCTGAGGATCGAACCCAGTAACTCATGCATGCTAGACAAGCGCTCTACCTATGAGCCACAACCAATTCCTTCACTAAAGTTTTAATAGATAGTAATAATATTACTATTGATTTTAAATTTCCCAAGTTACTTTTTTTGGGGGGGGCGGGGGCTGGGCTGGGAATTAACCCACAGGTGCTCTATCACTGAGCTACATTACCCCAGCCATTTTTATTTTGAGACAGGATCTCATAGCTGGCTTAGAACTTACAATCATCCTCCTACCTCAGCCTCCCAAATATCTAATTACTTAATATGGGAAAATATGATATACAACAGATCAGGGCTTAATGTACTATATTCCTAATAAGAAAATAAAAGATTACTTATCCTTTGTAATTAAAGCCCCTCATATTGTTATAGGCATTACAATCAACATCCTTCATACACACATTAGAACTGAATTTTTCACACTGTAAGTAACAAGGCTGAAGTAGCTAACATTATCTGAGTACCAGGTAAAATGGTCCTTTCAACAGTATTTTTCTTCTGGTTTAAAAAATATTTTCAAAATATCAATTAAAATGCTCTAAAGGAAAACAAACTCTTCAATGTATCCTGTGTAAATGATGACCTATTAAAATGGGTTGGGGAAGAAACCACACTACCTATTTTATAAAGAGTTTTACTAGAACATACCCAAATTCATTCATTTTCTTATTGTCTATGACTACTTCAGTGCTACAATGCCTGAGCTGGGTAGTTTTAACAGTAACCCCATGGCTTACAAAGTCTAAAACACTTATTGTCTGGCTCTTTACAGAAAGTTTGCTATCTCCCTGTTCTCAGTGTGTCCTCTCTTTTCCAACTGTCTCTGTTGCCAGGCACGGTTGTGCACGCCTGTAATCCCAGCAGCTTGGGAGGACGAGGAAGGAGGACTGTAAATTCAAAGTCAGCCTCAGCAAGTTAGAGAGGCCCTAAGCAACTCTGTGAGACCCTGTCTCTAAAATATAAAAAGGGATGGGGATATAGCTCAGTGGTTAAGTGCCCCTGGGTTCAATCCTCAGTACCAAAAAAACCCCAAAAACAATAATAAACAAAAACAAACAAATGGCATTGTTAAAACAGCTCTAATCACAATTATTCACTAGGCAACCTAGAAGGACCCCTAATCCTTAAAGGACCTCAAAGACCAAAGATACCATACAAATCTGTACAATTTACCACATGACTGTTATATGACAAGAAATCAACTCCTGCATTCCTTAAACTAGTATAGTTAAGGTTCATTGTAGTCACTTAGCTTTACATAATTAGTACACTTATTAGTCCTGTCTCACTGCTTTACCCACTGTCTCAGAGATGCCTAACAAATGTTAATTAGTGATCTGTACCTCTCTTTAACAACTGATTCACACATTTAACTCCTTCTCAACATCTCTATTTGGATGTCTACTAGGTATTTAGTTTACTTCCCCGAACCAATTGCTCCTGAATTCTTCTATCTTTAAATAGCAACCTAATCTCCCAGTTTCTCAGGCATACTTCTCTTTTTCTCAGATCATACATTCATTATACTATCATTTCTTTTTGGCTGTATCTTCAAAATATGTCCCAAATCTGGCCATGTCTCACCTCCTTATTGGGACCACCAAGGCCTAAGCCACATTATATCTTGTCTAGATTATTTACTAGGTTCCTCATTGGTCTTGCTACTTTTGCTTTTATGTCTTCACAATTCTCAACAGAGCAGTCACAGTAATAAATCAGGTCACTCACTGCTCTACCTAGAAGCCTTCTTCTATACTTACAGAGAGTCGAGGGGCTATAAATAAGGAGACATACTCTGAACTTCCTATCAAGTGTATGTATTAAATTTTAAGAATTATATTATTTCTTCTTAAAAGTAGCAGAGAAATGATCTAGTAGGATTAGTAATAAGTTCCAAAGTTGTAATATTATTAAAAGTCAAGAAGCAAGGAAATGTTAAACTATAATGACTCCAAGTAGGAAGACAAAAGGAAATGAAACTAATGGGATAAAATTCAATTCTGAGGCATTGAACAGTGAAAGGAGGGCAAAAAGACAGCAGTTAAATTGTAAAGAAAAGTATCTACACACTAGTTTTTATTAAAAATATTTTTAGTTGTACATGGACACAATAACTTTTTATTTTTTTAATATTTATTTTTTAGTTATAGTTGGACACAACATCTCTATTTTATTTATTTTTATGTGGTGCTGAGGATTGAACCCAGAGCCTCGCATGTGCTAGGTGAGTGCTCTACCACTGAGCCACAAACCAGCCCTACACACTAGTTTTTGAAGAACTGAATGCTTAAGGAAATGAGTCTCAGTAACCAAAGAAAAGTGAAAAATGGAGAGTGTCAGTGAAAGGAGAACAAGTATGACAGAGGCTATAAAACTCAAGAAAATTGGCCACGGGTGGTGGTGCATGCTTGTAATCCCAGTGGCTGGAGAGGCTGAGACAGGAGGATTGTCGAGTTCAAAGCCAGACTTGAGGCACTTGCAACTCAATGAGACCCTGTCTCTAAATAAAAATACAAAATGAGGCTGGGGATGTGGCTCAGTGGTCGAGTGCCCCTGAATTCAATAACAACAACAACAAAAAAAATCATAAAATTAAGGCTATAATTGAGAGACTAGTCTCTAAATTAGAGGTTAGAGAGGCAACAAATCTTCTAGAATCCGAGCAAAAGGAAGCAAAGAATCTGGAAACCCTCCCTGAATAACTATAATGAGCCTTTATCTGATTCATAACTGCCAGGTTCTCACTCACCTAGAGAACTCTTTATATTTCTTCTTGATTATCCATTGATCTTTTTGTTTTAACTGGTGACTTTAAACTTGTAAAGAGACAAAGTGACACAGAATCTGCGATTATGGTTGGGAGTCAAAGCAGCATGCTAGAATTCAAGCTGAGTTCTTAAAATCCTCAAAGGTTTTCAAAGATAAAGAGAATGCAGCTCCTGGAGATTCATGAAATATCTGGCCTGCAATAGATAACAAGGTTACTATGGTTTGGCTATGAAGTGACCACTCCCCCCAATAAGCCCTTGTGATAGACAATGCAGAAATGTTCAGAGGTAAAATGATTAGATTATGAGAGCTGTAGCCTAATCAGTGAATTAATCCACTCAATGGATTAATAACTTGAAAGGATTACTATACTGGGTAGTTAACTGTAGGCATGTGGGATGTGGCTGGAAGAGATAGGTCACTGGTAGACTGTCCTTAGGGATTATATTTTTCACTCACGGCTCCTCATGCCCTGTTTCCTAGGTGCCAAGGGCAGAGCAGGATTTCCTCTACATGCCCTTCCCCCATGATGTTCTACCTCACCGTGGGCCCAGATCATTAGAATAAGGCCACCATGAACTGAACCTTTGAAACCATGAACTAAAATAAAACTTCTCCTCCTCTAAGTTATTCTTGTCAAATATTTTAGTCACAGCAATGAAAGCTGACTAACACATTATGATAAGGCTTGGGCACGTATACATATTAAAAGTACTTATAATTTCCATCTCAGGCTAAACCCATTATTCCATTTTAAAAAGTTCCACATATGCTGGGTGTGATGGCACATGCCTGCAATCCAGCTACTTGGGAGGATGAACCTGGAAGATAACAAGTTAAAGGCCAGTATGGGCAATTTAGGGAGTCCCTGTCTCAAAAAATAAAAAGGGCTGGGGGTATGGTAGTGCACATCTATAATCCCAGCGATTTAGGAGGATTCCAAGTCAGGATTAGCAACTCAGCGAGACCTTCAGCAACTTAGACATTATTTCAAAATAAAAAGTAAAAAAGTCTGGATATGTAGCTCAGTGATAAGCACCCCTGGTTCAATCCCTAGTTGTATAATATAAAACAAGGCTCTACATATTTCAGATATGGAAAACAGAAGATAACTTATTTTCAGAAACTATGAGTCTGAGTTATCATAGTCTTCAGAATCACAACCTCAACAGGTTTTTAAAAAAATATACATATTTTTAGTTATAAATGGACACAATACCTTTATTTATTTATTTATTATGTGGTTCTAAGGATCAAACCCAGTGCCCCACATGTGCTACGCAAGCACTCTACCACTGAGCTACAGCCCTCTCAACAAGTTTTATTAAGCAGGTATCACCCCAGGCCTTGCTCTTGATTGAAATCAAATTTTGGGGTACCATTAACAACATTTCTCTTATAAATGTGAAGTCATCAACCTTGAGCAATATGGACAAAATATTAAGGAAATTATTCTGATAGTATTCATAGCTCAGAGCTCTTAAAAATTTTAGAGGCCTAAGTTTTATTAGGTTAGTTTACCCTAGGAGAAATTAAATGTAGTAAGTGTCCCATAATTATATGCCCATTCACTGATTCAGCAAATACATTTATCTAGTATATGTTATGAAGAAAACTTGATTTTCAGTTTTTAATGGGTTATGACAGAGAAAAAGGTCAAACTTACTCAGGGGCTTTTCTCCTACTCAGATGGTGAGAGCCTTAAAACCTGGCTTGACAGTGCTATGAGTGCTGAAACAGAGAATACAAAAGGGAGAATGAATGGAGGCAGATTGTAAGAGGCAGATATCAGTAAAATATTTTGGATGTAAAGACTCTGAAATTCCTGTGCATAAAAATGGACCCCTAATACTGGAATTGTTGCTGCTGATTGAGTACTTTGAGGTGAAAAAGATGACCAAGGCCAAAAATGTAGGAACACCAATAACAGATGGACAAGGAGAAATAAGACCTGCCTTCTTTATAGCTTTTACCAGTTTTTTAATATTTCAAAACTATTGTTTCTTTAAGAGTTTTTGTACCCTGGTACTTTTTCATTTAATTGAGACTGTGGGTAGAAGAAAATTTGTTTCACTACATTTACATAGGTCATTTGGTATGGGGAAAAACTGGTTAGGACTCAAGACTTCCCTGCCCTTTGCGACAAACTAGGGAGTCTTAAACAGGTTCCTTGACCTTTCTTCACTAAAGGCAGGACAACTAGCTTTCCAATTCTGTGCTGTGCAAACTACCTTTTAAAGTTATTCCTTAATTCAAGACTTCTCAAAGCAGGTCTACCAAAGTTTCTCCAAAGTATTAAGAAATTCTTACTAGGAATCTAAGCACCCAACAGCACATTATTCTGAAATATTTTTTTCTTTTTAAAAAAGGTAATGTTGATTTCATCTTCTACTCCACAATGGGTCTGTTTTTATATGACACTTTTAAAATTACCAACTTAGTTCCTTAGCCCTTTCCCTTTCTTATTTTCCAGAAAAGCGCACCTTTATTGTTTTAGAAACGAGAATAGGGAGGATTAGCGGTTAATTTTCATCCTCACGAACTTGGAACTATTTCCAACTCTGCAACCCCAAACTAACCCTCACACCCTTGGTCACCCACCCTCAAATACATCCCAGATTCCTCCAGTTCCCCCTGCCCCCATCCGCAAAAGCTCTGAACTCAGCAAGTCACAGGAGGCGACATCTGTCACTTCAGCCTCCCCAGGCCCTTCGCAGGCGCTGCGAACCCTCCCCTAAAGCCTCCCTGGCCGGGTTCAGGACTTAGAAACCCAGGTCCTACCAGGCCGAAACCAAACTCACCAGCAGACAAAGACGACGATGGCGAGCCAGAAGTTCTGCGCCTGCGCACTCCTGAGGCGGGTTAGCGTTCCCAGAGGGCCCCTGGGCTCCGCCACGCCGGGCTCTGAACCCGCCAGGACCAACCGATTTTGGCGGGTCGTCTGCCTTTTTTTTTTTTTTTTTTTTTTAAACCGTGGATTACATTTCCCATTAGTTTCGGTGGTTCGAGTAGCCTTTTCCGCGAACTCTTTCTGCCAGAGCTTGTGGGACTGTCTCCCCGGTGGCGGGGTGTAAGCAGACCGAGTCTCAGGACTCAGCTAATTCTACCTGCGTTTACCTCCGGGAGAGGGCAGTGGTGTCCCAACAATAAGCGCAGCTCGGACAGGGTGGTCCAACATTAAGAAGGGGCTCCTGGGGTCTTCCAGGCGCAGTTCGGTGATGTAGCAACTCCCTGGACGGCTCGAGGCTGGCGCCCTCACGTCTTTCGCGGCGCGGCTCCGAACTACATTTCCCAGAGGGCGCTGGGCCCTTGGCCCCTGCCCCTCCTCGCGCGAGCCTTAGTGCCTGAACCGTTCTCTGCAGTTGCAAGCCGAAGCGTTCCTGGGGAGGCCAAAGATGGAGTTTACAGCCCGGGGCGGGGATTTAGAACGAGCCTTAAAGCCTGTTGGGTGAATGCGAGATGAGCTGTTGTGAAGTGGTGTGATATTTATTTATTTATTTTCCCCCAGCGTGGCTGTAACACCCTTTGTGCGGATGTGAGAAGTATTATGTGGGCGTGCTTTAAGTCCCTTTGGTATGCTTGTAAATGTGTGGCCGTATGTAACGCTGTACCTATAGGTGTGCGATAACTGGAAAGCGACTGTGTGCGCCCGCTCGCACGATTGATTGCGCCTCTTTGTGGGAAGGAATAAGGAGGGAGCTTTGTGACGCTGTGGCTGTGACTGTGTCTGTGGGCATGGTGACGGCAGCATTGCGTGGGAGATGCATACGTGGGAGCACATGACCGCTCGGCCCCTCGACAGTAAAGGAGCACTTTTCTGTGACGCCAAGTTTGAGTAGAAGCCCCAGTCCACTACTAATAGCCCTCCCACGGTGAGGGGCAGGCTAATTAAGCTCTAAACTTGCGGTGAGCTGAGACTCAGGAAGGTTTGTACCTTGTTTCGTTTCCTATTTCTGTCCTCCAGCAGAGGTGCCCAGGGGCTGGGGGTGTAGCTCAAGTGGTAGCGCGCTCGCCTAGCATGCGTGAGGCACTGGATTTGATTCTCAGCACCACATAAAAACAAAATAGATATTGTGTCCACCTAAAACTAAAAAATAAATATTAAAAAAAGAGGTATCCAGAGGGGGAGGAAATAATGGTTTTTAACATCTGAAACTTGTGTGTTATGTTGTTTAATGTTTTCTTTTTATTCCTGAGATGCTTCATTTATTCAGGACATTTTCTTTTTCTTTCTTAGAAATGTCTAAGACAGACCTATCAAGTAAGCTGGAATCTACTCTTTGGAAATATCTTCCTTGTACTCCCAAATTTTCTCCTATTAATGTGGCATATGTTTCAGTATATCTATGCTATTTTCTTTTTACATATATACACAAACATAAACATGTATGTAAATATAGGTACATATATGTATAATGTTTTCATCTGAATCAGTTACTTTTGTCACATATGTGGCCAATCCAATATCCATTCCCTCTTCTTTATTGCTAAAAAAGTCCTGACCTTGTTTTAAGAAAAATAAACAAAAAACTCTATGTTCTAACTTCTCCTGTAGTTGTAAGCAAAAGTTATTAGATTGAGTTTCTCAGATAATTCTTTAAAAATGCAGGGTGAGGGCAGGGCCAGACTCAGTAAGCAGGTATTCTTTTGGCCTTTCTCCACTTTCCATCTGGAATGTGGATGTGGTGCCACATGTGAAGCATTGAAGCATTTATCTTAAAACCATGCATTTACCATGAAAGGATGAATAGGAAGTTTGCTATATTAAATTAAAATAGAAGATTTTAAGTTTCTATTTTGTGAAAGCAATTTGGCAAAAAAAAAAAAAAATTCTACCTATATATACATGAAATGTATAGAATTTTAATTTTCTTCATTGTAATTAAACTCAAATCGGTGTTTCCTTGTCTTTTTGTTTAGTTTCTTCCATGTTCAATTTACCACAATAGCTAGCCTGTGGTTTTGCTGTTGGTAAATATTTGATTGATGAAAGAATAATGATCATGTGATAAATGATAGTAGTATTATTTAGTTTGTTTTTGGTTGCACAGAAGAAACATGCACAGATTGCCTGATGTTTGCATTATTCTGAAATTACTGTCTCTATGTTAATTCTACCTCGGGTGTGGCATAGTAAGCATTCTTCAAACTAGGTATGAATTCTTAATAATCTAGAGGACTTATTTATTTGGTACCAGGAACTGAACCCAGGGGCACTAAACCACTGAGCCACATCCCCAGACCTTTTTTTTTTTTTTTTTTAAATATTTATTCTTAAGTTTTTTGTTTTTTTTTAAGGTGGACACAATATCTTTATTTTACATTTATATGGTGCTGAGGATTGAACCCAGTGCCTCCTGCATGCTAGGCGGGCACTCTACAACTGAGCCATAACCCCAGCTCTTTTTAAGACAGGATCTTACTAAGTTGATAAGGCTGGCCTCAAACTTGCTATCCTCCTGCTTCAGCCTCCCAAGCTGCTGGGATTAGAGGTGTGAGCCATGTACCCAGGCACAGGACTTTTTTACAAGGAATGAAAGATATTCACTGTTCCTCAGTGTACTTTTGTTTTCTTTTATGCTTCCTTTATTAAATTTCTAAGCTAAATGAATAAAATATTTCTAATTTTTTTCTTAAGCACTCAAATTTGATTACTGGTTTTGGTTAATATGTATACCTTAAAATATTTAAAGTTCTCTTACAAATTTAAGAAGGCTTTTTTTTTTAGTATTTTTTAAGACACATTGATGGACCATGATATTATTCATTTATTTTTATGAGTTGCTGAGAATCGAACCCAGTGCTTCACATGTGCTAGGCAAGTGCTCTCCCATTGAGCCACAGTCCCCCCAAGGTTAATTCTTTTGGATACTTAAAAAAATTTATTAGTTGTTGGTGGCCCTTTATTTATTTTTATGTGGTGCTGAGAATAAAACCCAGTGCCTCACACATGCTAGGCAAGCACTCTACCACTGAGCCACAACCCCAGCCCCTTTTGGATACTTTAAACATGGAAATATCAGAAAAGATCAGAAGAAGGTATAAAAAGTAGGGACAGGGCTGGGGTTGTGGCTCAGTGGTAGAGCACTTGTCTAGCATGTGTGAGGTACTGCATTCAATCCTCAGCACCACATATACATAAATAAATTAAATAAAGGTATTGTATCCATCTACAACTAAAAATATTTTTTTAAAGTAGGGACAGACTTTTAAAAGGTAATTGTGGAAGGGATAATAAGGAAGAGATAATGATGATCTAGACGAGTGAGTTGGTAGTAGAGATGGGAAGAAATGGATGGATTTTAGATACATTGAGAGTAAAATGGGAGAACTTGCTGAAGGACTAGATGTAAGAAAAGGGAGAATGAGGGCTGGGGTTGTGGGTCAATGGTAGAGGGCTCTCCTGGCATACATGACACACAGGATTTGAACCTCACATAGAAATATAATATTGTGGCTGGGGTTGTGGCTCAATGGTAGAGTGCCTGCCTTGCATGCATGTAGCCCTGGGTTCAATAAATAAATAAAAATAAAGATATTGTGTCTATTTACAACTAAAAATATTTTTAAAAAGAAATAATATTGTGTCCATCTAAAACTAAAAAATAAATATAAAAAAGAAATGGAGAATGAAAACTGACTCAGGTTTCTGAGTAATTAAGTTGATTAGAAGGGTACAAAGGAGGAGCCAAAGAAACATGCAAATTGTATCTGCTGGGGTCACTTTACCTAGTAGAGGACTGTTGGCATGCCAGACACCTCTGGTTTCTCTCCTGAAGTAGGTAAAGTAACTCGTAACTATTATGTGGTCTTGAGTTTGAATCTTTCTAATGATTATCACACAAGCTATTCTTTAATGTTAAGACTCTTATTTTTATATAAAAATTTAAAGGATAGAGGAGTAGGTAACAGAACACTGGTCATACTTTCTGGAGGTAAGAACTTGATGCTGTAACTTGGATTCAAATCATCTAAGTATTTGCAAATTTCTCAGATTGAAAATCAGAACAAGAATTCATTTCCCCAGTGTTATTTAGTCAAGAGCTTTTCCATCTGAATTTCCTTAGACATGGATTATGTCCTCACAGTCCATTATATTCTGAAATCTATGTTGAGAGTCTTTGTCACCTTTCCTCACTATATTGCTCCTCTATATTGGTCCACATTGAAATTCACTCTTTTCCAATAGGGATTCTTCACTTTTCTGACTTAATGAGCGACTGTAGGAACATAGTGACTGAAGCAGAAAGTGCACAAGAGAAGAAATTACAGCTGGGCATGGTAGTTTATGCTTGTCTCTTTAGTTGCCTATGCTGATAAGATGAACTGGGTTCAAAGAAGCTGGCTGCAACATTAGACAAAGAAAATGTCAGAGAAATCATGCACCACACAGACATGAATTTCTCAGACTGAGGGTGGGACTGCTCTGAGTCCCTTCACATATGCTAGGCAAGTGCTCTACCATGCTGGACAGTGCTAGAAAGAGGGAGCGTACATCCAGAATCTATTTTATAGGGGGGGACACACAAAGGAGCTTCGATGGAATGTTCTTCACCAAATAAGGCAGGGGATATGGTTTTAAAAGGTGGAGTTTTGCAGTCAGCAGATGGATATCTTGGCAAGTCACGCATCTTAGGTGCTGTGGGATCACAGCAGAGCAAGAGGAAAAGTGCACTGATGTCACACAGCCCAATCAGGGCACAACGCCAGACCTGCCCCCTTATATAGCTCCAATGCTCATAGTTCACACCCATAGCCGGTGGATAGCTTGCAACATGCCTGTAATCCCAGCAATTTGGGAGGCTAAGGCAGGAGAACTGCAAGATTGAGGCCAGCCTCAGCAACTTCGTGAGATTCTAAGCAACTCAGGAAGACCCTGTCTCAGAATTAAAAACAAAATAAGAAAAAGGCTGGGAATGTGGATCAGTGGTAAATGTACCCCTTGGATTCAATCTTCAGTGCCAAAAAAGAAAAAAATTAGAAATTGTTATTTTTTTATTTTTTAATGGTACTGGAGAGTAAACCTGGGAGCTCTTAACCACCGAGCCACATCCTCAGCCCTTAGTTGTTTTTTGAGATAGGGTCTCTTTAAGTTGCTTAAGGCCTCACTAAGTTGCTGAGGCTGGCCTTGAACTTGTGGTACTCCTGCCTCAGCCTCCCAAGCTGCTGGGATTACAGACGTGGTGTACACCAAACCTGGTCTGTACCGTACTTTCTGATTATTACAGCTTGATAGGGAATATTGAA